AAAATTATATAATTTACTTTAAATATTAATAAATCAAACAATTATATTTAATAAATACTTAAAAACTAAAAAAAATTAAAACCGAGCCCCCGGAGCAACGCCCGGGTCTGATAGCTAGTATTGCATTGTAATGAGATTCTAAAAATTTTCAATATATGCGCCGTAAGTTCCTGCGCATATATATATGACGTATTCATAAACATAGTGAAACTAGGGGTAAGCCTCTATTGAAAGTTGCGATTGAATGATGTTAATATAGTACAAAAAGTACTTAATTGAAAAACAGAAGCATGTTTAGATTAGCAATAAACTGTAATGTATTATGTATTAATATATTCAATTGCACAGAAAGAATGGAATAGGTAAATCATTTATTAGTTTTCTTTAATTGATCATAAAAACTATATAATAATAAAAACAATCATTACAACAACGATAAAGCTATAACTTATTTGGTAAATTCGTAACATTTGTCTGAAATTTTGTTGTAGAATAAAAGCTAGTTTGGCAATTAGATGAAAGGATCGAAAGAATTGAAAGTTATTGCCTAAAAGTTTACCTTTTAAGCGAAATTTATGAATATTTTTCATAGACTGAAAAATCTTCTTTCATAAAAGCGCTCATACCCGCGCTAAACTTTACTTCGAATATAAGAAGATAATCATTCCTTACCTAATAGCGTCAATTAAGAAAACTATACGAAAAAATGTTATTCAAGATGTACCTATGTTATTTGTTAATACTCGCTATTGGAATCATTCCTTCTTTCCAACTTCCATCTGTCACTTTCCCAACAAGTGATTCTGTATTAAAATGTGGTGATCAGGTATTGTTAATTTCTCTTAATTCCAAATATACACGCGTATCCTATATTCTCATTTAATCTATATCATAAAATAGATAACTGTAAATTTTATTGATGACGGAAAACCACCGACCTCTTCAATGTCAGGAATCAAAGTTCAATTCATGACAGGTCAAGAAACGCAACCAATTCCGTTACTCACCATCGTCGAAAACCTTCCAATCACTGATTCCCAATTCAATTTTAACGTACCATCTGTTAAAGAATTGGGTTACCCCCCTGGAAAATTTTATTTCTTGATGTTTTCGGATCCTAGTAAACCTGATAAAGGTGGCGTTAGTTGGAGTCCTAAATTCACGGTACTTGAAGGTGATTTTTTTTGTATATTTAATAATTTATAAACTTTTTTATATAAAATTTTTTTGTTTACTAGTAGTATTAAAATGA